CGGGGGACCATCGGTGACCGGAAGGTCAGCAGGAGCTCTTCCGCGCACTCAGTCCCTCTCGCCCACAGCTCAGACTCGGGTCGCTGCAGGAGAGTCGAGTGGGAATCTGGAAGGCCTCTTCTGCCAGCTCAATCGAATTAGGGCTTGCTTTTGTCGACGGACGGCCGTCGTTGGCCTGAGTGGAATGGACGGCACCGCTGTGCTTCGGGCCGTAAACGCGCCGGCGCCGCGCCGACAGTGGCGAACTGACGGCCCCGCCGGGCGGCATACGGCGGCCCAGGGCTCTGGCAGACCGGTACGGCCGCAGTTGCCGAGCCTGCGCTCTTCCGCAGCTAGGCCACGAGTCGAGACGGAGGCCAGACGGACGGCACGGGTCAACGGGGGCTGTGGAAGAGGATCGAGATGCAGCGATGGGCGCTCTCCGCGGGTGCCAAACTCGCTCTCTCGGCGAAATAGAGGGCGTTCGTTCGAGTCACGTGCTATTGGCTGTGTTTTGTTGGGGACTGTCTGAGACACTGTGCTGGCGTTAGCTGCTATTGATGAGCTAAGTAGCCGTTTCTGTGAGCGACTGGGACAGTAATCGCCATTTTGGATTAACGGAAACGCCTGGGAAATGTATTAAACTGAAATGGTTTGGCTGAAGCACATCGGAAAGTCAATGTCAGGTCGTCGAGGCTGTCTTTAGATTATTGGTACGATGCTGCAAATGTAAATCGATAGCTTGGACTTTCCCTTTACTGCATCTTTAGCATGTCTGACTGGGTCCTGGTCTCCGCGGTATGCGCGGAATTATTTCTGTTCTGTATCATACATACTAGTTTCTCGCGTTTTCGTAACACAGATGAACAAATTTCAATTTATCGCACACATGTTTATCGCAACATTTTTGCCTCGATTTATTGCATTCTAGGTGTGTGCAATAACTTGTGATCTTTTAATGAAAGGTTTTGCCTATCTAGGAAGCAAAATTCGGATATGTTCCTTCATGGATTGAATCGCTGCGTCGCTCGCCGGTGAGGCACGGAGGTTGAGGATGCTGGAGGACGGACATGCTAATTCTTGAGGTGTACCTATCAGGTGCACGATGGACAGATTCGGTGCTTATCTTATTTATTCGCTATTGTGCTATGTTCCCATCAATTAATAGTCGAAGTCGAGCACTCGCCGGCCAAGGGGGGGGGGGGCGGGTGCGCCCCCATACTTTTTTTTGGCAATAGCTCGGAACACGCCCGCGATGGGAGCTGAAACTTGCATACCTGACCTTTGATCAAGCCGGATCTTGTGAGATCAGCCGTATTTTCAGCTCAGGTCAGGTCAGTGACGTGACCTATAACATAAGTGAACTATGCACGGTCCTCAGATGTCGCAACTTCGCAACGCCCTCAGTGCTAGAGGAACTTTCACAGGGAGATGAAACTTACGAAGATGTAAGTTTTATCTGTGAGACCTTCAGAGGTCCACAACTGTATATCTCTGATCTTTTCCTAAAGGTCACACGTGGTTAGGTCGTTACGTGACCTCACCATTATAAGTCAATGGGTAAATATGAAAACTGCTATTTGGCGCCGGAATGATCTAAAACTATCCCAAGCACATGGAATCAGGCGCATACCTAGAATTTGCCAAGGGATGGGGGCGGAGGAATCCGGGTGGGCTCCTTTCTACAGAGGGTCTCCTCTCTAAAGGGGCCTCCTCTCTACGGGGGCCTCCTTTCTACAGAGGGTCTCCTCTTTACAGAGGGCCTCCTACCTTCAGAGGCCTCTCTCTACTGAGGAGTCGGGGCCCTAGCGGTCAGACACAGACATAACGGTTATTCACAGGAGGCCCCAGGAAGTAAGAAGGACCCTAGCTGTCACTTGTCAGGCTGGTCAGAGGGCCTGATTGTCTGACGTGTTTTTTTTTTGGGGGGGGGGATCCCGGAATTTCGTTCGCCTCCGACGTGATTTTAACAACGTGGACCTTCGGCCCACGGGGCCCTGATTCCATCTGGGGCTCCTAAAAAACCCAAGGGGGGGGGGGGGCGGACGCCCCCGTTGGGTACGTCCCTGCATGGATCGTGATTTCATGCACTCCTTGCAAGGTCCGATGCTTCACTATTGCATGTTGACCTTGCGTGACGTCATTTACGACGTCACTAGGGTCATAAGAGTTTTTTCGTCAATAACTCCCGATCAAATTTAAGTAGAGAGTCGGAAAGACACCATTGGACTCGGGAAGACCTGCAGAATCGAATGCATGCATGATATCCTTTGATCAACTTCGTGACTGAGGCCTGAGGGGCTCCATGACCTGACCTTGACTCGAGGTCTACACTTAACCCGCCGGGGGGGGGTAATCCCAACCACCGCAGCCCGGGGGGCGTTTTTTCGCCCCCCCCCCCCCTGTCTAACTCCGTAATAAGGGAGCTACGGTAACAGAAGCGATACCAAACGAAAGGTCCTTACGAGACGATTCTAAAGCACCTAAAATTTTGACCTCAGGTCATTTCAAGGTCAGAGGTCAAGGTCAAAGGCAAAAACGGCACATGTGTAGTGATCTCAAAGTAGCCTTCTAGAGGACGGCAGGCCGCAGGCAGCATCAAACCGGAAAAATTGGGTGTCAAACGAAAGAAGAGAAACCTGAGGATTTCGAAAATGTGCTCAAAATCAAAGGTCAAGGTCAATGTCACGCTGAAAAAAAAACGACGCGAGCCATGTGTAACGAGAGAGGCGATACGCCATTCGAAGTGGAGTAAAGCGTGCTTCAATCCAAGAAATAAAATCAATCAAATCACATAAATTCATCCAAGCACATACAAATAAAATGTTTGTAAGGTGCCGAAGTTCAATGGACCATTTCTGCGGTCAATAATGAAGGCAATATGACGATAAAGTCCAACTGAGATAATCGTTGGCACGGATGTGGCCAAAATCGGCACGAGCAGGACCAGAATTGGCCGCAACTGTATATCACGAACGGGATCCAATGCTGGAACGAACGGCATCAGCGGTCAGGCCAGCACCATAAGCTGTACAAATGGTGAGGCAATTCAGGCTCGAAATACAGAACAGTCAAGCATAACTAGTAACTACCGTAATCTAACACGAACAGTTATGAGACCCGGCACCAGAACCTGGTACAAACGGCACCATTTTGGACTGGAGAGCGTACCGTCACCAGGCGAACGGTTCCAGAATATGGCGCGATGGTATGTACATCAGGAAAGAACGTACCATAACCTGGCACGAACGACATAGGATCAACCATGGAGACCAGAATCAGACACGAACGGTAAAACATAATGGACAATAACGGGTATGCAACGGCGCAGAGCAGTTGAGAGGCCACCAGCGGCGTCCGGCAGGAGCGACGGTCGGCAGCGCGCCGTCGAGCCGCGGGCTGGCGCCGCCCGTCAGCGCCAGCCCCGCCTGCAGCTCGCCCACGACGGGCTCCGTGTGGACATGTGCAGCGTCACGCCAACGGAAGCATGCCGCTACGGTGCAAAAAGGTTCATTTTCTGACGATGACGTGTATTTCAATAAGGACACAAAAATGCAGCTGCCGGACTGGCCACCCTTTGCCGACCACACATGGACCGACGGCATGGGCGCTGCCACTGGACCCTAGCACAGACCGATCGGATCAACACAATCTTACACCAGGCACACAACACACAACGGATCATGGTACTCAAGTCCGTGCCATCGGTGCACTCAACAAAAACGGTGCTTCTGTCTCAATGTAAAACTCAATGTATGTACTTATGACGCCGCGGGCGGCTCCGGGCCGCGAGTCCCATCCGGACCCAACCCAGCACAGCCCAGCCCCGGCCCGATTCAGCCCTATCACCGGCACCGCTGCCAGTGCCGAACAGGGAAGGACGGACCAGAGAACAACTGATGACAACGGACTTACGAGAACTTACAGCATCGAAACCATTATGAGGAAACACGTTATCGAGATACCCAACACCCATACACACTTCAACGCCATCTGACGCTCACGACTCCGACGTACGCTAGGCCGCTGGCCACCCTTTGCCGACCACACATGGACGACGGATCGGGCGCTGCCACTGGACCCTAGCACAGACTCGATCGGATCAACACAATCACTAGACTTACACCCAGGCACACGAGACACAACCGAACATGGTACATGCGTCCGTGCCATCGGTATCACGCAGCAAAAACGGTGCCTCTGACTTCTGAGCTTGATAACCAAACTCAACAAAAACGGTGCTTCAGAGCTTGACAACCAAACACCGGACACGGCCAGCAGGACCTACTGCAGCGCCTCGAGCGATCCTGACATAGGCATGTGCGGCTGTTCACTGGCTGCACAGAGAGCACTGCTGACGTCGCGGGCGGCATCGGGGGCGGGCAGGCACATGTATTGTCGCCGCGGGCGGCATCGGGGCGCGGGCAGACATGTATGTCGCCGCGGGCGGCATCGGGGCGCGGGCAGACACATGTATTTGACGCCGCGGGCGGCGCCGGTCCCCAAGTCCGTCCGGACCCAACCCAGAACAGCCGGCCCGGCCGCTCCAGCAGTCACTCCTGAGGGCAGGGACCACCGAACTGATGTTAGTTACGCCGTGAAATCGGACGGAGTCATGGAGCTATGTGAAGGAAATACAATATTGAGCCTATTACGGTTTTCAAAAGCGTTTTTTCAGCGACGCGCTAGCTCCACCAGGGGCGAAACGGCGAGGGGGTCGTACCCCCCTCGGCCGGCGCGTATGTAGAAAACCAATAGGTCCGGCGAGGGTTAATACCGCTGGAATTTGGCTTATTGAAGTAAAAAAATGCGGTGGAGCTCTGCTGGCTCCAGTTCTATGAACTCAAAAATAGGTCACCTTATCCACACTTACATAGTTATGACAATGAACATTGAAGAACTAACTGACGATTGACTCAGTTAGTATCAAGGAGGAATCATCCCTTACACGCCTAAATAAGCAACCGAATATAGCGCATCGCAACAACATACGCGCCAAGTACAAAGAAGTGCATCAATACATTGTCAATACTTACTGCCTTCTGTTTAAGTTTGTACATCTTGCATCTTATGTCATTCAGATTATGGCCGTTGAACGGCTCCCTCTTGTACAGGTCTCTGAGGTCATCCATACTGGGTACCCGCCCACCGCGGGCTTTCAGTATCGCCCGCAGTCTCTGCACTTCGGGCACAGACCACTTTACATATCGCTCTGAAAAAATAAAGAAATGTTAACCCTGTTATACGCCTTTGACTAGCCTGAGGCAAGTTTTTTACCAGCGCCGTGACGCTCTTCCAATCACAATACATCGATGGAAGGACAAGGGTGCATTCACAACCTTTCTAGTCAGGTAATGGGCCGCCCTACAGTTATACACGTTGTCAAAGGTGAAATTATTCTATTGTGACACCGTTGACGAACTTCCTGATAGACAAAAAGGTTAAAACACAACCAATTACTGGTTGCTTTAAATGATTTTCTCACAGCACAAAATATTTAACCTCAGGCCATCACCTTTGTTTCAAAGAGTTAACTTTCTAATTACATACTTATTCGGAAACACTGACGCCCGGTGTGATACCGACTTTACATCTGTTATACCCGCATGATATACTTTCGTCTGCTCCGGGTGATTTAGTGATAAATAGCAGACATGGTTGTTTAGTTCAGCACTGCTTAGCGGGCATCAACCGGGTAAACGGGCCTACCTAGAGCGTCCAAACAGTGTTGCGGTAGAGCATCTCATCTTCCGTCGGAGAGGCCAACAGCCTGGTGAGACTACTACAGAATATGTGTCCGCTTTGCGAGCACTAGCCAAATATGTTACTTCAGGACGATAAATTAGACATCGGCAGCCACATCAGCCGCACAGCACCAGCCGACGTCCGGCGCTCGGAAACGGAGGAACATCTGGCCACCCTTCCAGACGACGCCGTGTAGGTATGGAGCGACGGCTCGGCGGAGGGAGGTGTCTCAGCCAGAGGGAGTGAAGCGTTGAAATCCTCCCCTCGGGCGAGGAACACGAGCTCCGAGCCCCCGCAGTCAAGATATGCAGCAGTACCCGCGCTAAGCTGGTGACGATCCGCGGGGCTCTGGAGATGCTGCTACAGCTGGAAGGCGGCCCGGCGGAGAGCCCAGTCATCGTCTGCTCAGACTCGCAGGCGGCGCTCGCCACGCTGGCGAGTGGTGCTGGGAGTCAGACGACCGACGGCACTCGGTGCCGCCGTATGGCGACTGCTCCTGACTCCGAGTCCTCATACAGTGGATCCCGGCACACTGCGGAATACCCGGCAACGAAAGGGTGGACGTGCTGGCTAAAGTGGCCTCCAGCATGTCGCAAGCCGCCGTCCCGATGGACGTCCGCTGCTTCGTAAAGGCTGATTGTTTGAATTGGACAATTGAATTGGACAATCATATACGAATTAATTTCGTGAAGGCTGTCAGCCTTGGCCGCTCCGCCACCAAGGCATGGCATCGCAGCTGGACAGACAGCATCTTCAAAAAACATTATGGGAGACCGGATGCCGATGCCGGTGCTTCTGGTGTCTCGGGACGAGGCGGTTAACGTCCACCAGCTGCGGGCGGGACACTGGAGCCACTCGTAGAGTTATCTGCGCAGGATCGGACGCCACCCCGAGCGCGAGTGTCCACAGTGCAGCGACCTGGCCTGCCCAGTGCAGTGGCGCGCTGCCTGGTGTGCCGCGAGGGTCCGGACACACCGGAGCGCGTGTTGCTCGGGTGCCCATGCTTGGCCGGAGCGAGGCTCCAACTACTCGGAAACATATGATCGGACCCTACGCAGCTTTGGGACGGCGTGTCGTGGCGGCCTTCAGCCGCGGCTACCTCAGTCACCGAGAGCCGTTGGGCTACGGCCGGCCATGAGCCGACCCGCGGAGAACAAGAGCAACAACTTCAGGACGATTGAAGATAAGACGATCAGATACTCGTGGTGGAACAGATCCTGCATCATCATCTAGCGAAGTTCCTGCAAGACGGTGCCCTCACCCTGGAGAAGGTGCTCGATTTGTGTGAAGCTACGAGCGTTCAATCCTCCAGTCTGATGGCTCGTCATGAACACAACGCAGTGGTAATATCAGCCGACAGCCGCGGTTGACAGAACACCCAGCATCTGTAGAAGGCCATGCGGGAGCTAGGGGCTCGCTGACCATGCCAACAGCCAGGGCCCCTCAGTGTCCTGCCAGACGAGGGACCTGACGCGTCTGTGGAAGGAAGTCACTATGCTGCAGTCGGAAAGAGGAAGTTAACACGAGTGAAGAAGGCCACCATGGCGTTTCATGTGTTGCAGTGCAAGGTAAACACCTGCAGTAAGTAAGGTGACCGGCCCTGTCATCCTGGAGGCAGAGAGGCGTAGGCAAGCGATGACACTTACGGTGGATGCTGGTGAAACCTGCTCGACCTTGAGACTTTAGTGCAGAGTACGTCTGCCGTCTCTAGGGATGCACTTACGAGCCATCCACATCCAACCTCCTCAGGTTCGGGAGAATGCATTTCAGCGTGACAGGTAAATACTCTGCGACGTCTGCGTGCCACAGCCCGGTACCAGTCGGTGGATGCCAGCCTCTTCCTGGTGGATACATGGCCGCTGCGGAAGCCATCACAGGCCTGGGTCTGATGCAAAGCTGGGTGTCACCATTTCCCAACATCAGGTGAGGTCTTCACCATACAAGAGGAGGGGGATGCGATTCTCCCGACCATCAATGGCTACCAGCATTACAGCATCCTCGTCCCAAATGTCCCATCCTCGTCCCTAAGCCCACGGACTACAAGCTGCGCCGTCTTTTGCTCTCTGTTCGAGATGAGGTGCAGGAGGAGCGGAAGACATCGTGGAGAAGATTGAAGCGTCTCATGGGTGAACCCGCAGGTCTTCTCTCGCAAATTCAACGGGCAGCGTTGACATCAGGTGGCCCAACTCACATATTGTGGCTGAGTATATCTCTTTCGACAATCGAAGAGTACCAGGCTCGACTTCATGGCAGAGTCTACAGCAACATCGATCTCCGGTCGGCATGTGAGCAACTGGAACCCCATCCGGAGAGCAGGAACATCAGCGTTCATCTCGCACGGTGAGTTGATACGATTTCTGCAAATCACCTCCGGCCTGGTCTCGACAGACTCTGCTTGCCAGAATCTCCTTCACAACTTGTTAGGGAGCTCAGAAGTTTCCTCTCGCTGACTTGCTGGTCGAATCGCTCCATCCCAGTCTGCGCTTACATCCGACAACTTGCTGTGATTCTACGGAAGGAGTGCTGTTCGAGTGGATGGGGGAAGAGTCAAGGTTCCAGACCATCAAAAATGGTACCGAGCAGCCCGGTTCTGACGCCCTTAAACCGAGACCTACCGACAGTGGTGACGTCACGGCCACGCGCATCCGAATCATTCATTTGATAGCACTGGGGTGTGGTGCCATCATGTCACAGCTGTCCTGACGGCTCAGTGCTTTGTCCTGACGAGCGGTGCTCTTTGTCCGACCGTGAGGCCCTCAGTGCCGTGCAAGCAATGGAGCGGTGGAACGTTACCTCTGAGGGCGACGTTTAACACTCCGGACTGGCCAGTCCGTGATGAACACGCTCCTCGCCTAAGTTCTCGACTGGGCGGGAGCACCTGTTGCTAGGTGGTAGGCTCGAATGCTACCGTACGTCTACGAAGTGACGAGCGCCCCTGCCAGCAGGATCACTGTCGCTGACGCACTGTCACGCCAGCGGCTGTCCACTACAGGGCCCGTAGAAGAAGCCGATGAGGAAAAGGTCGTCATCTGCGTCAGGGGCGAACACCTATCACCGCTAACGGAGAAGAAGGTTCGAGAGGCAGCTGTAAAGGACCCTGAGGGGTGTTCACGGGCACCGCACACTGCTGCGTGCGGTGTGTGCGGTGCGTCCAGCAGGCGTGGGGGTAGGGGATGGGTAGGCGGCTCTGACGTCACGGCTGCGTGCGGTGAACGATCCGCTGTGGCCAGTCCCGACCGGCCACAGCGGTCGCTGTGTGCGGTGACGGAAGGCTGACGTAGGGACGCAGTGGGCGGAGCTTGGAGGCTGTGTGCGGTCCGACCGCACACAGGGCCCGTGAACAGCCCTCAGCTCTCCAGCAACTGAGTGACGTCATCCTTTCCACTTCAGCAAAACTCGTCCCCTGCTGTCATTTCGGAATTCGGCAACACCGTGAGACTTGCTATAGGCATGTCGTGCCACTCTCCGTATCTCAAATCGTCCATTTGATACTGATGTCCATTGATACGGCTTTAAAGATGCTTCAAAGACGGCAAAAACCCATACGTCCTCGCGACCGAACAGGATAAACTCAATGCAGACAGCATATAACCACATGTCAAAAGCCCTCACGTCGTCCTTGTGTAGTGTAGCGACGTATTGGGTTTTGACGTTGCAAGCATTCATAATCTGCAAGAACGTCTATGGGTTTACCGACGTGGATTTTGTCACTGGCACATAGGTTAGCCATGACGTGGGGTTTTCGCCGACGTAGTGGGTTTTGACTGTGTCACTTCCGTGCTTTTCAAAGACGTGTGAATTCCAAAATTTGTTTTTCCTCTCCCAAAAAGCTTTTTTTGGTTTTTGAAAAAAAATCCTCATGGCATGAAATAGAGCTTTGCAAGCTGGTCACAATGGTGTAAAAAACGAAAAATGACCCAAAATTGACATGTGGGGTTTTGACTTTGGACGGCAGAATGTGTTGGACTTGGTGCTTCATGCTTCCTTGTCTGCCGTTTTCTTTGTTTGTTAGCCATTGCCGCAAGATACATAGGTGCCTCTACTATCGAGTCTAAAAAATCGGGAGGGGCAAACCATCAACATTTATTGTTTCTTTGCATATAAAAAGGTATACAAATTTAACAAAGAGGGTATTTAATGCAGGAAATTTCAATACGTTTATGAAAATAATGCAACACGTAAAGCTGATGCAGGCGATGTAAGGCGCCAAACCTTTCACTTACTTTTTTTGCGGTCCTTCTTCCGCTGTTCATGGCCTGTGGACATTAAAAAATATAGTTAACATTAGGAATAGAACCACTTAACCATGTAATTCTGTTAACATTACATGGTTATGCATGAGAACATAAATTTGGCCGGGGCGTCGCAAGTCCATCTACGACACGTCGCAAGTTACGACACATGTCCCGTCGCAAGTTGTGTCGTAGCGAAAAAGGAGGGATGTTGAGGAAAGAGGGGTTTGTCGGAGGATACGACAGAACGTAGCTACGACGAGGCTTAAATACCCGCTTTACTCGAGAATTTAACCCGCGCACCGACGGGGGGGGGCGGATATCCGCCCCCCCTGAGGTTTTTCGCGAATAGCGGGAAAACCGTGGCGCGTAGCGCCGCGAAATTTGGTATGACTATTCCCTTATCAATTTTACACATGGTGTGCAAGTTTGAACCTCCTACCTTTCAAGGTCAGGTCACCAGGTCACTTTGAATGACCCAACCTCAAGTCACTTTTTTGCAACTTTGTCACCGTGCCAGAGCTACAGTAGATGTCGGAGGCCTTTGAAAGTCGCAGGATGTTATTAGGTCATTAGTAGCTACAATTTGTATATCTCGGAATTTTGATATCGGTGACCTAAGGTCAGGTCAATTTCGCGACCTCCCCATTATAAGTCAATGGGGGAAAAATCAACTCCCTGTTTTTACCACTAAAACGGGTCGGAATGGCCCCATATACCATACATGACTTCATATACGATCAACCTTCACTACCTTGAGGTCTGTTTTGCTGTTGGGCAGCTGTGAGGTCATGTGACGTCATCAAAGGTCACCAAAGGTTTTTGGCCAATAACTCCGTACAGGAACAAGATACAGACGCGTGGATGGTCTCATTGTGTTCAGCTCGTCAAGACGCATCGAATGATATACATGATGACCTCGAGGTCACGTGACCTGAGGTCAACCTTTGACCTTGACCTTTCGAGGTCAACATATATATCATTCGATGCGGATTGACGAGAGGATCACGATGAGGCCCTTAGTTTGTTCCTATCTCGACTAATTCGAAAGTTATTCGAGAAAAACTATCTCCATATTTAGCGCCGCCATTTTGACTTTTTCGACCCCTGTGACGTCATCTTTGACCTGACCTGAAAATGACCTTAGTAAAAATTGTAGATCTTGACCGTGCGTATCCGATGCCGTTTACCGCTTGTCGCTATCTTGCTTCGTTCTCGAGATCTCAGGGGGGGGGGCGGTCATCCGCCCCCCCCCCCCGTCGGTACTAAGTTGGCGCAGACCCCCGTCGGTGCGCGGGTTAAAAGGCTACACGATCAGCTGATCCCGTAGTAAACGTCAGTAAGGTCGAAAACTCTATCACGCATAACGGAACATTCGCCTTTCTGGTTTGAGAGCTTATGAGACAGCCAGGTCAAGCATGTTCTCTGATTCTGAAGCTTTGTCTCAACTGGGTGACTTGTGATCGCTAACGCTCACATAATTTGCCATAAAATTTGGGGTCGATCACAGGAGATTCGTGGCTAAAGAGCATCTAGAAGCTATGCTTTAGAAGAAATGAGTTCAGAGAGTTTGAAGTCACAGAGAGGTAAGAGAGTTGAAGTTGGAGGTCACAATTGGAGGTTACAGAGGTCATCTGGGACACGTCAGGTCACAGAAGTCAACTTGGGGACACGTCAGGTCACAGAGGTTAACTTTGGGTCATCACAGAGCTCAATTGGAGGTCAACTGGGACACGTCAGGTCACAAGAGTCAGCTTGGGGTCATCAAAGAGCTCAATTGGAGGTCACGGAGGTCATCTGGGACACGTCAAGTCACAGAGGTCAACTTGGGGTCATCACAGAGCTCAATTGGAGGTCATATGGGTCATCTGAGATACGTCAGGTCACAGAGGTCAACTTGGGGGTTATCACAGAGCTCTATTGGAGGTCATGGGGGTCATATGAGACACGTCAGGTCACAGAGGTCAACTTGAGGTCACCACAGGGCTCAATTGTAGGCCATCTGGGGACACTTCAGGTCACAGAGGTCAACTTGGGGTCATCAGAGACCTCAATTTGAGATCAGCTGGGACACGTCAGGTCACAGAAGTCAGCTTGGGGTTATCAGAGGTCACTTAGAGGTCATAGAGGTCATCTGGGACACGTCAGGTCAGAGAGGTCAACTTGGGGTCATCACAGAGCTCAATTTGAGATCATCTGGGACACGTCTGGTCACAGAGGTCAGCTTGGGCTCATCACAGAGCTCAATTGGGACACGTCAGGTCACAGAGGTCAGCTCGGAGTCATGAGAGAGCTCAATTGGAGGTCATATAGGACTCGTCAGGTCACAGAGGTCAACTTGGGGTCATCACAAAACTCGGAAGTCATCTGAGACACGTCAGGTCACAGAGGTCAGCTCGGAGTAATGAGAGAGCTCAATGGGAGGTCACGGAGGTCATCTGAGACACGGCAGATCACAGAGGTCAACTGGGGTCATCACAGAGCTAAATTGGAGTCATGGGGGCCATCTGAGACACGTCGTTTTTGGAATTGGGAGAATCTTTTGGGGGATGCCCCTCGCAACGTCCAAGATCGCCTTTCTGGACTCGCCAGTAGTTGCTGGAATGATATAAGGCTGCTTTGTATCCCTGAATACCCCAATGAATTTGAATATAACATATTATGCACCATTTTTAACACTCGCTGGCACGGATTGAGGCCTCACAGATGACCCGTCGGTTCAAGCTCTATAACTCGCGTTAGCGTCAACGGATTGTAACCAAATTTTAACTCAAGTTCAAACAATTTTACACTAACCATGTAAATTTCGTGACCATGGCCCGAATGACCTGTGACCTGTGACCTCTTCCTCAAAGCAAGGTTAGCTTACGACACAACTTACGACTGCTATTTCAAATTCGTAAGTTGTGTCGCAAATCAGGCAACTTGCGACAGGCTTTACTACTTAAAGGGACTATCCCACCTTTAACATGGGGTTTGAGTTGAGATAGCCAAGTTTGCGGCGAGGTTCAGAAACCTATATCTATCTAGGTTGCAACCCCCGCGGCCTCCTGGTGTTGAAGAAATTCGTTCCCTTCATTTGAAAATGGGCCTTGTACAAGGCCCTATCTTCAACATGGAGCGACCGTTAGTGTGACGTCACCTCGTTTAGTCGTTCTGATTTAAATGGGTTTGTTCGTTGAAAAATCGCTTAAAACTTGGTCTGAACTTTGTTGTGGTGCCTACAAAGTAAAAAGAATCTGCTTTATGACAGTAATGTGGCCTGGGGAAGGAGGTAATTTTGGGCTGTGACGTCACATATTTGAAAGTTTGTGTTTGGAATATGGGAAGTCTAAGATGTTTAATGAAAAATAAATGCCAGAACCGTGTTCCTGGTCATCCAATCTATAAAGTCGGGCACAATTTAACTGGTTTTAATAACATTTTAGAAGGTGGGATAGTCCCTTTAAGTAACGCTACTCATCGATTGATCCCTCCAAAAACGACTTACTACACAACTTGCGACACGTCGCAGTTACGACGAGGCTTACGACGCTCTGGATTCCTCCGGCCAAAAAGATCTTTTCGCTTCATGTCTTGTTAAAGATTTGAGTTTGTCGTTTCGTTAGCACGACGTCCCCTAAACCTGCACCTGTCTACTGCTTTTTTTTTGCCACCCCGAACAAGAACGACTGAGGAGGGGGGGGGGGGGCTTGATACGACCCCACTTACGTTTCGCTCCCATGGAACTAAAAACAGCAAATTTTCATGGGAAAGGGGCTCATGAGTCCTCGCTCCCTAACTACATCAATATTTAGAGGGTTTGCATGATAAAAGCCAGCATTAAAAATAAAAATGGCGCTTTTCAGCACGAAACGCTACGTGTCTCGAAAAAAAAAACATAAAAGCTAGAACAATTAAGATAGCATTCGATAACTTAGAACAAGCCCTATCGAGCTTTATCAAAATATTTTGTCTCAATACGTTAAGCTCAAGATTTCACCAAAGGAGACGCAGTGAGTGTTGCTTAAATACTTTTTTTGCATATGACATTTCATATGTAACAGATTTAGCAAAATTGCAAACGAGGCCGAGGGTAGACGAGGTTGGGTGGCGGGCGGCGCTTCACGCCGCCATCGAGCTGCTATTGCAAAAAAAAAAATCACCCATGGGTCGGATTCCCTCCCTCCTCAGACGGACGTGAGTAAAGGCATTCTCGCATGGACAATGCAGTTATTGAGCGATACGCTTATTATCCTGCATCGATCGCAGTGCTTCAATAAATGCATATGAACTCACCTATGCAATTGCCCTCCCACTATAAAACTTCAGGCCGGACTATAGTCTGTTCCATATCAAGCTTGCGGTCGGAGTCCCCTTGGCAGTTCCAGGCAATTCGCTGAGCGCGCTACTCCATTCAATAATTTGAGTCTTAGAATGTAAGATGTATGCACAGAAATCACGCACTGCCTTCAACAGAGCACTTCAGCCGCAAGCTTGACATGGAACACACTATAGATGTAGTGAATGCGCCTCACCTCCTTCATCGTCCTCTTGGCGATCATCAGCCGGACCGCCCTCATTTTCAGAGCCTGGCTCGTCGAAGTCCTCTGAAAAACCGTCTCTGTCAGATTTAAGAATATGTGTGATGCAAAATAAGTGCCTGCCATAATGGGCAAGCATTTCTGAAAAAAAAACGCTGAACGGAACATATGTGCTACGGTGGTACCCGGACTGCTTTGGCTATCCGCGCTCGTCCTTAATCTGAAGTACAGCACCATGGGTCTGCATATAACCTAGTAGTACCAGTGAACTTTAACGGTCTTACATTGCCTTCGCTCTGTACGATTCTCTTCATGGTGTTATTGCATTGCCTCTTTAACACTACATTGCAAATTAATGCTTTAACTGCATGAAATGTCTGCTAAAATGACAGACGAATGGTGATGTTACGATTAGCACATGTACAAACGATTAGTTACCTTCAGTGAGCATCTCCTCCAGGCTCCGTCCGCTATATTTTGAGAGGCATCCTTCGTCCAGCTTCATCATCAGGATGGAGGCACGCGTCAGTTCGTGAGTAGCGTCTGACAGTCTGTAGTACCCACGATGCACGTCTTTGTCATGTCCCATGTGCCGGGTGAGCACCTCCATATCGAATTCACCCATCTCTAGAATCTGGGACGTTGTAGCACAATATTTCCGTAGTTTTGTTGCATGGAAGAGATCTGCCCTGTTTAGTGCCATGTCCGACAACTGCTCTTTAAGCACCACGCCTGCGTTGTAGTGTCCTGTAGTCCTCGCCAGAGGGTTTGCGAACAGATACTTGTTATCCTTGTCAATGTACGTCTCCCGGTTGTCTACCAGTAGCTGCAGCGGAGCCGCGCAGTCGCTCGGTATCAGGGTGGGGACCTTGTTCCCGCACTTGCCGCGGGACATGACGACGTCGAGCTCGTTGAACAACTTCTTTTCTGTTTCACCCATTGACTTGTTCACTTCTTCTACCGTCTCTTGTTTGTACATCTCTCGGTTGATCCATGATTGCAGCAGGATGCTGCTAAGCTCCTTAGGACGGCGTTTGTTGAATACTAGCAAACGGGCGAGAACCGCTTTGCTCAGCCTTGCATAGTCTGTCATGCCATGTATTCCCTTTTCTGTCATTTCTTTCACTCGTTCCTTCATTTTTTTCGGTGAAAAGCTTCAAATCGCTGGTAAAGGGCAGCATGTCTTTCTTGTCATACTTGTTCGACTCGCGGTTCTTCAGCGCTACGCTGCTGATCTTCACATTCCAGAATTGGTCCACGTGATACAAGAACGCCTCAGCATCTTTCACTTCGCTTTCTTCTTTCTTGATCAGCGCAATGCCCTTCTTGAGAGCAGCCAGCTGTCGTAGTTCGCCTCCAATCCGCATGGCCTTTGAAGGAGTTTTGTATGTGGGCAGCCCCGTGTGGGCGTTTAGCTTGTCCTGCTCAAACCCACAGACGGATTTGGTGGCACTTACAACCGTATCAAATCCTTCGCCATTGATCAGCTCTTGCATGCTCTTTCCGGCTGCTTGGACAACTTCGCCCATCATCCTTAGGCGCTGGCTTATCTGCGCAAAACCCGACCTTCCAAGTTTCGCGTGCAAGTTGGCACCCCACTTCTTCAGGAGTTCATCGTTCTTTATGGTCTTCGTAACTGCATCGTCGTGCATACGAGACAATATGTCCTTGTGATACCCAGTATTTTCTTCTTGGCCGTCACTCAGGAGCGTCCGGCTCTCTGCCAGCACCGTGGGAATGTCTGGGCATTCTGTTTTGCGAGCCACACAGTGATGTTTTATGTGCTGCATCATGTTGGTTTTAACCACAAAAAGATAGCAGTAAGGACATGGCACGTAGTCGTCCACGGACGCCTGGTCCGACTTCCTTCCCAAGATCATGTCACCTTCACCCCTTTGTAGGACGAGTTTGTTGTGCTCCATGTTGCCTTTGTTGATCATCACGGTGATTTTCATTTTTCGTTCCTGCTCAGAATCACACTCCTGTATATCCTTGACTTCCTTCTCGTCACGGTGGACCGTCTTGATATGGCGCCATATCAGATTTCTCTTTTGCTTGCAATATATGCAAACATTTTTTTTCCGCACTTCGCCGCACGATGCGCCGTTCCTCGCCGACTGAGATGTACGCGACTGAGAACTGTGCTGGGGCGGAGCCACCTCAACACCGTCGCTGACATCAGACTCAGCTCCCTGTTCTCCGTATTCGTTCTCCTCCAAATGGTGGTTCTCGGGAGCCGTGATCTCTGTTTGATTGCACATCAAGTGCTCAGGAAAAGTCCATGTGCCATGGTCCCCTGCATCCTGGACTGAAGCCCTCGAAGTAGAGCAGGTGGGTGACATAAGGTCGTACTCGCTTGCAGAGAACGGCGTCATGTCGATCAGTTCAGTTGGCAGTGCTGTTGAATAAGAGGTTTTTACTGACCCACAAACTCCCGTCTCAGAGGTAGGTGGGGAAACACGAGACGGGGCTCCAACCGTCGCCCCAGTAGTTGTACACAGATGAAGAGCATCCCATCTTCTAGCGTCCGGGGTCGGGACGGGCGGCAGGCCTCCAGCCGCAGTCTCGGAAGTCGCACGCAGATGACGGGCATCAGCCCGCCTTCCCGCTTCAGAGGTCGGGACGGGCGGCGGGGCTCTGGCCGCAGTCTCAGAAGTCTCACGCAGATGATGAGCACCCCACCTTCTAGCGTCCGCGGTCGGGACGGGCGGCGGGCCTCCGGTCGCAGTCTCAGAAGTCTCACGCAGATAAAGAGCATCCCACCTTCCAGCGTCCGGGGTCGGGACGGGCGGCGGGGCTCCGGTCGCAGTCTCAGAAGTCTCACGCAGATGAAGAGCATCCCACCTTCTAGCGTCCGGGGTCGGGACGGGCGGCGGGCCTCCGGTCGCAGTCTCAGAAGTCTCACGCAGATGAAGAACATCCCACCTTCCAGCGTCCGGGGTCGGGACGGGCGGCGGGCCTCCGGTCGCAGTCTCAGAAGTCTCACGCAGATGAAGAGCATCCCACCTTCCAGCGTCAGAGGTCGGGACGGGCGGCGGGGCTCTGGCCGCAGTCTCAGAAGTCTCACGCAGATGATGAGCATCCCACCTTCCAGCGTCAGAGGTCGGGACGGGCGGCGGGGCTCTGGCCGCAGTCTCAGAAGTCTCACGCAGATGATGAGCATCCCACCTTCCAGCGTCAGAGGTCGGGACGGGCGGCGGGGCTCTGGCCGCAGTCTCAGAAGTCTCACGCAGATGATGAGCATCCCACCTTCCAGCGTCCGGGGTCGGGACGGGCGGCGGGGCTCCGGTCGCAGTCTCAGAAGTCTCACGCAGATGATGAGCATCCCATCTTCTAGCGTCCGGGGTCGGGACGGGCGGCGGGCCTCCGGTCGCAGTCTCAGAAGTCTCACGCAGATGAAGAGCATCCCACCTTCTAGCGTCCGGGGTCGGGACGGGCGGCGGGGCTCCGGTCGCAGTCTCAGAAGTCTCACGCAGATGAAGAGCATCCCACCTTCTAGCGTCCGGGGTCGGGACGGGCGGCGGGGCTCTGGCCGCAGTCTCAGAAGTCTCACGCAGATGAAGAGCATCCCACCTTCCAGCGTCCGGGGTCGGGACGGGCGGCGGGGCTCCGGTCGCAGTCTCAGAAGTCTCACGCAGATGAAGAGCATCCCACCTTCTAGCGTCCGGGGTCGGGACGGGCGGCGGGCCTCCGGTCGCAGTCTCAGAAGTCTCACGCAGATGAAGAGCATCCCACCTTCCAGCGTCCGGGGTCGGGACGGGCGGCGGGGCTCCGGTCGCAGTCTCAGAAGTCTCACGCAGATGAAGAGCATCCCACCTTCCAGCGTCAGAGGTCGGGACGGGCGGCGGGGCTCCGGTCGCAGTCTCAGAAGTCTCACGCAGATGAAGAGCATCCCACCTTCTAGCGTCCGGGGTCGGGACGGGCGGCGGGCCTCCGGTCGCAGTCTCAGAAGTCTCACGCAGATGAAGAGCATCCCACCTTCCAGCGTCCGGGGTCGGGACGGGCGGCGGGGCTCCGGTCGCAGTCTCAGAAGTCTCACGCAGATGAGCATCCCACGTTCTAGCGTCAGAGGTCGGGACGGGCGGCGGGGCTCTGGCCGCAGTCTCAGAAGTCTCACGCAGATGATGAGCATCCAACCTTCCAGCGTCCGGGGTCGGGACGGGCGGCGGGCCTCCGGTCGCAGTCTCAGAAGTCTCACGCAGATGAAGAGCATCCCACCTTCCAGCGTCCGGGGTCGGGACGGGCGGCGGGGCTCCGGTCGCAGTCTCAGAAGTCTCACGCAGATGAAGAGCATCCCACCTTCCAGCGTCCGGGGTCGGGACGGGCGGCGGGCCTCCGGTCGCAGTCTCAGAAGTCTCACGCAGATGATGAGCATCCAACTTTCTAGCGTCCGGGGTCGGGACGGGCGGCGGGCCTCCGGTCGCAGTCTCAGAAGTCTCACGCAGATGAAGAGCATCCCATCTTCCAGCGTCCGGGGTCGGGACGGGCGGCGGGCCTCCGGTCGCAGTCTCAGAAGTCTCACGCAGATGAAGAGCATCCCACCTTCCAGCGTCCGGGGTCGGGACGGGCGGCGGGGCTCCGGTCGCAGTCTCAGAAGTCTCACGCAGATGAAGAGCATCCCATCTTCTAGCGTCCGGGGTCGGGACGGGCGGCGGGGCTCCGGTCGCAGTCTCAGAAGTCTCACGCAGATGAAGAGCATCCCATCTTCTAGCGTCCGGGGTCGGGACGGGCGGCGGGGCTCCGGTCGCAGTCTCAGAAGTCTCACGCAGATGAAGAGCATCCCACCTTCCAGCGTCAGAGGTCGGGACGGGCGGTGGGGCTCTGGCCACAGTCTCAGAAGTCTCACGCAGATGAGCATCCCACGTTCTAGCGTCAGAGGTCGGACGGGCGGCGGGGCTCTGGCCGCAGTCTCAGAAGTCTCACGCAGATGATGAGCATCCAACCTTCTAGCGTCCGGGGTCGGGACGGGCGGCGGGCCTCCGGTCGCAGTCTCAGAAGTCTCACGCAGATGAAGAGCATCCCACCTTCCAGCGTCAGAGGTCGGGACGGGCTGCGGGGCTCCGGTCGCAGTCTCAGAAGTCTCACGCAGATGATGAGCATCCCACCTTCTAGCGTCCGGGGTCAGGACGGGCGGCGGAGCTCCGTCCATCGCATGGGTAGCCGGTCGCAGCTCATGAGTCGTCATAGTCAAGTCAAGTCCAGGATATTTGTGGTATACATGATACTCAGTGGTGTGAGGAGGGGTTTCATCCACGCGGCCGGCTGACCCAGGAGATGAAGGGAGGACTTCTGGAAAGAAAAGATATGGCAACGCATAAGGAAGCATGGCGGTAGGAGGATGAATGCTGTCTTGATTTTTTAACCATCACCAGTGATTCGGCGAGTGATTTTAAAATGTAGGATCAGGTAGTGAGCCAAAAAAAGAACAATGTCTAAAGAAAAACCAGAAAAAACGATTGAATTATGATGTGTTGATTAGCATAGATACAAGTAGATTTGGGTGGACTGAGTAACTGGTAACAACACAAATGTAGGCACCATAGTCACGTCTTACCTCGTCCATTTTTACGTGAGTGACGCTGCGCGCCTTTATGTCTGCCACGGGAGTGGAGAGCAGCAAGCAGCATCCTCTTCCCATATGATCCAGCTATGCGCCCTGTCAAATATTGATAGCTATTAGCTAACATAAAATACTAAAGGAAGTTTCCCAGCCAGCAATTGGTTTGGCTCAAGTCCGTTTTGCCCTAGCGACTCCGGCACGCCAGATTTGGGCCGGTGTAAACGGAACGCCGTCGGAATAAGAGTTTGGGTCGATATGGCTCTATTCCGGTTAACCAGTCTTTGCCGTAGCGTTCCGGAGCTAGTATGGCTTCGGACCGACAAGTCCGGCCGGCACTAGCGAGCGGTGGCCTGACCTGACCTTGCCGGAGGGGCCGTGACGTCACCGGCGGGCGGTCAGAGCGAGTCGGCAGAGCCTCACTCTACGCGGGCCCGAGCGAGCAGTGAGGATCGGTGAATAGGACATAGGGGAGGGAGGGGAGGGGAGGGGAGGGAGGGGAGAGAGAGAGAGAGAGAGAGAGAGAGAGAGAGAGAGAGAGAGAGAGAGAGAGAGAGAGAGAGAGAGAGAGAGAGAGAGAGAGAGGCGGCCGGCCAATAATTAGGCAGCCAACACTGAGTTGAATGAAGCACACGATGCTGACACGTTACGGAGTTAACTATAAGATAATGTCATGCGTTTAATGTGATTGGATTTTTCACTTAAATGCTTTCTTCCTTTGTGACCCACAACCCCTAATTTGGGGAGGACAAGCTGCCCCAACGGTTCCTGACCTTATGAAAAGTTGTGGGCACCGCCCCCACGGCCCCAGAGTTGTGGGGGCTAGCTGCCCCACTGCCCCCGGTTCCCGCGCCTATGTATGAATCTATGAAATTATGTTGGTATATTTCCGATTTCGATCCCTCCAGTTGGAGGGGCTCAAATACCTTACGAGCCCCCCTTCCCAGCCGAAAAGTTGGAGGGGCTCAGCACCCCCTAGCCCCCCCCCCCCGGCTCCCGCGCCACTGCCCCCCCCCCCCAAGGCAAATCATGGGCATCATAGCATTTATTGCCCCCCCCCCCAAACTAACCGATGAGCCCCCATGGGGGTATGGGGCCCTGGCCCTTATTCGATTATCACGAGGCTCAAGAAACACACGCCAGCTATTCGCACAGCTCCCATACCGGTCTTTGAGGGTCCTACAATGACCTCTGAGGGTCCCTCAGTGGCGGTCATGCGCCCACCTTGACCGCTGAGCCCCCAGCATGACATTAAAAACTCAGACCACCAGCACGGCGCAGGTTAATAGCATCTGCAAATTTGAGCACTCTACTAAGCTATGCCTTCGTCGATTGTATTTACATAAATTTTGAACATGAGACCTAATACAGCTCTGAGGAACCCCAATCAGAACATTTTTCCCACCTTGCCCTTCACCCATTTAGCACTATACGCTGCTGGCGTCCTGTCAACCGGGTCTAGTATATTCCCCTTCATGCCTTGCAGCTTCAATTGCAATACTATCCTTATGTGTGGTACTTTATCAAACGCATTATTGAGGTCAAGGTATGCTACCTACATCAAACTGCTTTCTTTGCCAAAAGTGTTTGTAGGTATCTGTCGCAGCTTCAAAAAAGTCTAGGTTAAACATAAACAGCCTTTATTTAACTCATGCTGGATATTGCCTATCACACTGTTTTCATCCAAAGATTCTACCACTTTCCCCTAGATTATGGATTCCAATATTCTGCAAACCAAGGAATACTTCGACAGTGACTGTAACTCACCTCGTTTGGTATCCATCTGTGATTGGATAGTGGAGACTGACGCCAACCTGAAAACAAGTGTTATTGGCAGTCAAGGTGTGAGAGGTGCATACACTAAATATTGCCGCTTGTATCATTGAAACTTTTACATCCGTCCGCCCGCTCATTGCCAGCAACACCAACATGACTAGGGATCCAGCAAAAAGTGATTGATGTTCCCTCTCGGTCGAGGGCTGTCAGACGGAGAAGAATCTCCTGTACGAGGAGGTCGGTCGAATAGAATTGTGTCAAGGCCTGGAGACCACTCAATGAGTCAGATGGGCTCCTATGTAGCCACACTTATCTCCATAAAGGACCAATGCGCCGGTTTCTGAGAGACCTTGCCGGCT